TCATGTATTGATAATGTTTTTGCGAATGTAAATCTACATTCTTTACAATAAAGATGTTTTATGTCTAATTGATTAGTGATTATTTCAAGTTTGTTTCTTTCAAAGTATACCATGCATCCACAGCAATAGTATGTGTGTTTTATTCGATATGATAATGAGGTTGAATCTCCCAAATCAATATTGGTGGTATTGACAGTTGCCTCATAACATCCACATTGAAATTTTCTATTTTTATTTTCTATTTGTTTTAATAGACAATTTTTAAAGATATGTCCTTTTTAATAACAATAGGTACATTCGTTGGTTCTTTCCCAAACTAGTGGTTGAGTTGGTCATTGACAATTTATATCTTTGCATCTTATTCTTCTGCAATTTTGACATCTATGAACTTTTGCTAATTGTATATTTGCTTGACATTTTTTTCCGTAGTATTTATAGCTATTACATACCGAACATCGGCTAGGGCAGTTAGCCTGAGCATGTCCTTGCTTTCCACATTTCACACATGTGAAGAGTGGGCAGTCTTTTCCTCTTTTCCTACATTGTGCACAAATTGATAGTGGACAGGTTCGTTGGGTATGTCCTGTTTTATTACAGACTGGACATTTGTCATTAGCTGACTCCATGTTTGTTTGATCACTTCTTGTATTTCTAATAATTGTAGTTTCTTTATTGAAGAGAGTATTTTCAATAGTTCTTGGGTACAGTATTCCTTGAGGTTGTTGAATACTTGATTGTATTGTGTTTCCGTTAATAGCCAAGGTTGTGTCATTTGTAGTGGGAATAATTGGAGATATATCATGGTTGGTTCCAATTCCACTGATACTACTTTGATTTTGGTCGGTTTCGAAGCTTGGACTTCTGTTTTCCATTTTTGTGTTTCAATTATCAATTGTTGAATTAATTCTTTACCGATTAGGTTTGGATTAATAGTTAAGAAAGTTTCTAATTCCTTTCTTTGTTGTTCGCTTGGTCCTAAATATTCTTTCCAATACTTAAATATCAATATTAACTGGTTAGTTAATTCAGGGTATGAATTAGGTTTGTTTTGTTCGAATTTGTATTGTAATACTTTTTCAAGTTCTTCAATCTGTAATTCAAATTGTGTTTTCTTTTGCCAACTGTATATTTTCTGTATACTCATATGTATACTCTGTTGATTGTTGATTCTTGTACTTCTTTAATTTCGAAGAGATCTTGACTGTTTTTTACTTTCTTGATTTGATTAATAATTCCAAGATATGTAGTATTTAGATTAATATCTAAATATAAGTCTTCTGCTAATTTCGTGATCTTTTCAATTAGCGTTTCTTTTTCGTTTTCAGTTATTGGAATAGTTTTCCTTTGTTCCTTTGTTGAGGTAACAAGTTCTTGTTGTAAGAATACTTCTAAAATTTGTCGATCGTTAAATTCTTTTCTTGTAAAAAGGTTTCGTATATCAATTATTATTCCTCGTATCCAAAGTTTAGTATTTTGTACTTCTTGGTTTTCTTGATGAGCCATATGATGATGAGGTTTTTGGTGACTTATTTTCAGGGTTCTTTTATACTTTCAGGGTTGTTAATCGTTATCCTTATTTTTTATTTATCATCAGGTGCACGTCAAATTTCCATATTAGTTTTAGCACGCGTTTCAGGCTTATCTTTGTTTACAATTTCCTTATCTTCAATCAATAATTCTTTTTGTAAACATTGTAGCATGTTTTCCCATAAGTCATCATTGTTTTGGCGTCTCCAAATGAATTCTAACAGATATGATCGTATCTTATCTTTAGTTCTATTTCTGGCAGGTATTCCGATTTTTATTCCGTTCCATGTTCCTTCAATGGTATTTGTGTGTATTCCCGTATCTGAATCTACAAAATATTCGGAATGGTTTACTGTCATATGCTCAAAGTTAAGCTTATCGTAATTATTTTTATACGATCTAAAACAATCTGAATAAATAATCGATCCTTGTTCAATGTTATCTTTAATTAGTTTCAATAAGATATCTTTAGTTTTATCTGGTATTGTTGTTGCAAATATTTTTCTATCGGATGTCCTTTCTACTCCTGCAAATACCCATGCACCAATAACGGGTTTTCCGCGGTGATACTTGTTTCTTCCCATTTTGGTTTTATCTATTTCTACAATGATATTTTTTCCTCCTATCTTTTGTTTATGTTCTTGTATGTGGGATCCTACTAGGTTTTTAATATTACTTAAATGGTAACTAATTGTACTTGGGTCTTTTTCCATGGTTATCGCGATAGATGTGCTTGGCATCTTTAATAACCAATAATAGTATATTTCTAATATTTCATTGACCCATATCTTATCTTTTTCAAACCATGAGTTTGTAAATATTGATTGTGATTTTCTACATTTCCGGTTGCCACAAATAAACATTTTGGCATTATCCTGTTTCATTTGTCTCTTACACTTTGGACATTCTAATTCTTGATTAATGATTCTATTTGCTTGTAGATACAGGATGCATTCGGATTTATTTTCTAAGATTTTCTTGATTTTGTATCTTGTCGGAATTCCTTTATTTTTCATTTCTTGTTTCTTTCTGATTTATTTTCGAGATTCTTTTCTATAAATTTGGTGGTCTTTCCAAGCATTTTTCTCAATGTTCATTTTGATCATCTTTATATACTTGTTTTCTTTAATATATCTTTATTTAGCAATTATCCTTTTTATCCAGTTACTCTTTTTCTTTATTTTCCTTTTTAAACATTATGGCTTTTACTCTTACTAGTTCTAATATTTCTTCTTCATTAGATTTTGAAGATTATAGCCATTTCTGTATTGAGCTTAAGGGTTGCATAATCTATGTTTCTTATCTCTTTGTCAAATATCTTCATGATATTGTTTTTATTGAGGAACGTAATGGTGTTAGTCCTTTTCAGCGTATAAGCTCTTTTATGGAGAGTATTATCCTTGAAAATTTTACTCTTGGTAAGGGTGAAGATATTGCCATGTTTAATTGGCGTATTTACTGGAATCCTTTTTTTAAGGATCATACCTTTCAAGAGGTTGTCGATGATTATTGCTATCCTAATGAAACTATTTCTTTGAGGTCTTTAGCCAATCGTCTTTTTGATTTTGAAGCCACTGGTTGTAATGAGAATGAAGATTCTGAGTTTCTCACAGTCAGGCCTCATTTTGGTGAGGTTACCGTGTCTGACGATGGTCAAGATGTCTATATCATCTCCAATTCTTCTTTGGATCCTTCATTACTTGAGATATGGATTTTTGATCCTTCTTTTACCAGGGATGATGGTAAGGGTTTTACTATTGGTTTATCATCCAACCGGAGTAAGTTAGATAATACTCTTCTAACTTGCTGTGGTTGTATGTTGGATGAATGCTAATCCCTTATTGTCCTTTAGATCTTATTACCGAATATGAAGAAGTTTCTTATGAGTGTTGGAATGGTTCTAACCTTTTTCAATTTTTCTATTTCAAGGATTTTATTAATAATAATGAGGAGTTATTTTTTAATAACGTTGATTCCTCCACTATTTCTTGTGTTGACAATTCTGATAGTGAGAGTAATATACATCTCGAAGGTACTTATTTTTTTCCTTTAACTGGGAAACCCTTGCCCTATTATAATTGTTCTTTTTGTAACCGTTATGTTTGTAATTGTATAGATTACTCTAATGATCAGGATGACTCTGATTTCTATTTTTCAGATTAGTTTTCTTCTTCTATTGTAATATTTATCAAGTCTTTTAAAGACTTATTTTCTTTATTGTTTATTATTCTTGATAATAAATCTGCTGCCTTATTTTTGGCTCCTGGTATTCTATGTATAATATAATTGAATTCTTGTAAATTCATTATCCAATTTTCGATTGTTCTGCTTGTGACAGTTGTTTTCTTTGTTGCAGATATTCCAGTTGCATTAGTATAAATATGTATCTCTTGGTTACCAATGTAATGTCGCTATTGCTTTAAGAATGTGTATATTGCATACATTTTTCTTTGTGTTGCAGGCCAATTCTGTTGTGTTTGACTTAAGCCTTTTGATTCTAATTCTATAATTCGTCTACTCGAGGCTGGTGGATTATCATAATCTTTTTTGAGTTCTTCTTTTAGAAGTCCTTCTTTAAGTCGTTTTTCAGTCTGTTTATAATGTTCTCGTTCTTCATCTTCTTGATATAATATTGCTCTTATGCCTGTTTGTGAGGCATCACATTCCATAAAGAAAGGTTTATTTGGATCTGGATATGAAAGATATATATCTTCTTTTTTAAGATTATCGAATGCTTTTTGATATTCATTTGTTCACTTAAATGTAGTATTTCCGGTCAGTTCATATAATGGTGCTGCTATATCAGCAAAGTTTAGTATATATGGTCAGAAGTAATTCATAAATCCCATGAAGGCTTGTACTTCAGTTTTATTGGATGGTATAGTTTTGCTCTCGATCAATGCTTCCTTATTAGCATTTTTCCGTATTTCTTTGTAGTAGTTTCTTCAACTAAAAATTCACATTTAGATGGTTTGAGTTTCAGCCCCGCTTTTTTGAGGATTGTTAAAGTCCACTTTAGTCTCTTTTTCATTTTTTCTGGTGAATTCGCTACTATAGTCATATCATCTATATATATTTTTAACTAGTCAAATTGTTTGAACAATTTATTTAATTCTGCTATTAAATATGCTGGTGCAGTTGTTATTCCGAATGGTAATCTTTTCCAAAGGTATATTCCAAATCTTCCAAATCTACTTGCTGTATATTTTTGTGATTTCGGATATACGTTTAATTGCCAATATGCTAATTTTAAATTCATTGTTGTATAATATTTATATCTACTAATATCTTGTAGAAATTGCATTGTATTTGGTAATGGTTGTTTAAATTTTACTAAATGTTTATTTAGTCTTTTATAATCTATTACTATAGCTTTTCTTCCATCTTTTTTAGTTATTATTTGTACATTACTTGCTCATTCGCTATATCCAGGATATATAACGTCATTTTTTTCTAAATCATCGCATAATTCTTTAATAATTTTTTTCTTCTTCTATAGTATATTTTCTTATTCCTTGATTTTTATTATTATCAGGAATTTCGTGTTCATTTTTATTCAATATAAATTGAATATCAGGAATTATGTTTTTATTTACGGAAGTTCCCATTTCTTGTTTTTCTCTAAATTCATCTACGTATTCAGTCAATACATCTCCAAGTATTTTCCATACTTTATTTCCACATCTTTCTTGTAATATCTTTATTCTTTCTTTTTCAGTTTCTCCTAATTTTGTTGAAGAAAAAAATTCGGGATCATATCCGATTGTTTCTTTTTCATCGACTTGTTCTATATTTTCAATATGTTCGCCTTGTTTTATTTGAATATTTTTATCACTAATATTCATTGCTAAAATGTAATCTCCATTGGGTCGTCCTTGTTGTATAGCTACTCCTTTAGCTGCTAATTGTATAGGGGTCCCTACTATTCCTTTTTCTTTAGGGTTTGATATTTTAATGCTTATTAATGTCATTGGGGGTATTACTGTTTCTTTTTTACTAAATATTTTTTCTTTTTCTGTTTTAATAATAGTGGGTACTATTTTTCTTTTTTGTCTTTTAGTTAGGTTGTTTAATAAAATATGATTATATTCTTCATCATCATTTATTCCATATCCTTCTTTATTTTCTTTAAGTTGACTCTCAACTTCTTGTCCAAATCTTTCAATACGATGTTCTTCCAAATCTGCTTCTAATTGTGCTTCTAATTCACTTAATTCTTCTTCTTTCAATTCCTCTAATTCTTGATATATTGTTTTAGATACATACGTAGTATATGTTTGTCCTTTAAAGGTACCATGTACTGGTCTGTAGGTTGAGGATTGTCCTTCATTATGTACATTATCATAATATGGTATTTCTATTTCTTCTACTTCTTCATTAGAAATTTGGTCTGTATGTTTTGAGCTAAGACTTGAACTTTTATATCTTTGTTGTTTTCTTTCATAAGGATCTGGTGATGGTGTATAACCTCTTTTATTTCTTTTCTGATCTAATACATTATTATTATTTTCAATAGTAGGTGTGGGTGCTCTACTTAAGGTATGTTGACTCAGTGGTGAAGGTGTTGCTGGTCTAGATGTGAATTTATTTTTAATTCCTTGTCCTACATCTCCGAGGAATTTTGTTACTTTTGGTAATACTCCTTGAGGGATGTCTTTATTCCTTCTAGAAGCTTGTGATAGTCTTTCATCTAAGAATACATCGTCTGTAGGTGAGTGTGGTATTCTTATTCCAATTTGTTTATTTTTTTTAATAAATTGTTTATCTCTAGGTACATCATATTGTTCGTATGGTTTGTAAGTACTTCTTCCTTCCAGATCAGGCAGTAATATTTGCGGGTTTTTCTTTTTTCTTGCACTGATGACATCTCCATAAATTCTTCCTTGAATTTCTGTGTCATCATGCATTTCTCCTACTTTTTCTAATTGAGATTGTAAGAATTCTTTGTGTTTCTCATATAATGCCTGTTTTGTAGGTTCATTTTTACAGTGCGCCTGCGCTGTTATTAATGCAGTTATTGCTGCTTGTTGTTCAATGAGTCTCATATCATTGAATTCTTCAGCAGTTATTCCTAATATTCCGTGAATATCTCTATTATATTCTTGAAGTTCTTTTATATCTTCTCAATGTTTCCATATTGTTGCATCATTTGTTTCATTTAATGTTGATAATACTTCATATCCCTTAAATTGTAACACAGGCAAATTTGCCTGCGAAGATTTTTACTAATTTTTTTAATATTTAAATTTTTTAA